TTGGAGTGTCAGGTTGTTTCATTAGAGACACATATAAATAACTCTGTTCAGTGGATACCTCAGAACAGTGTCAGTGTGGTTTTTCTCTTGATCTGGAAAGAACAGCAGCTTGTGGTGACAGGAGATGACACAATGTGGTGTTTGCTTTCCTCCGGTTCTGCCTGAAAGAGTGATTTGCAAAGCAGCAGAAAGGTTTCTACCCTGCGAGAGGCCCCTTGGAAAAAAGCTTTGCTGTTATTTCTGTGAGTAGCCTTTTTCAAAGCATGAATTTTCAGGCCTGGTTGCTCTTGACCTGAGAAGGGAAAGTAGGGGAGAAAAGAAGTCGTGTGGAACACATGTTCTGGAGCATCCGCAACAGATGAGGGAGGATTTGATTTCAGTTTCAAGGAGGAAGAGTTGAAACAAAGCCACCAGCATGTTGGATTAGGGCACTTAGCAGAGCTGAGCTCTGCCACAGTCTGACCATGATCCAGGATATTTAATATCCTTTTTTGATGGTATTTTAGTAGGTATGTTTGTTGGCACTGGTGTCTAACTTGTTGTATGTACTATCACCAAAGTTTTCATTATCAGCTGAGAAGTCTTCATGAATTTCAGAGAGCTTTAGATGACAGAATTTATGCTTCATTCATGCATTATGAGACTGGGATTTTTCTAAAAGAGTTCAAATATTTTCTTTGTAGTTTGTTTATTTTGGTTTTTTTTTCTGCACTTTTAATTGATACAAACAGCATAATGCAATTAGAATAAAATCGTCTGTAAGTTTCTGCAGGGCACCGTAACACATGGCAGAGTGCCTGCTTTCCTTTCTAATTATAGTACAAAAAGGGAATCCTTCTGTTTGAATTCCTTTTCTTCCTCCCTTAAATTTTGAAATAGTCCCTGTCCTCTCGGAGTTCTGCTCTAAATATCTTTCCAATGCTGTCGATGTGAATTCAGAGTACAAAAGTTAACAAATTGCTTTACCATCTGATCTTTTCATAGATGTGTGATGTCTTGGTCTCTTTCTCCCCTTGGTTTTTTTCTGCAGGTTATTCCCCCACTGGCTTGAGAGAAAGAAAATGCACTGTATCAAAATGAACTGGTGGTACCCTTTCAGTACAAATGGCTGAAATAGCACCAGCATTTAAGATTGCTGTGCTAAACTCCTAAATTGTTGAGATCATAACACACAGCAAATAAGGAATAGTTACAGAGAGGTATCTAAAGAAAAAATATGAAAGCAGATCATTTTAAAGAGAGGTGATAACTCTTGTACTTTGTCTACTTAGTGCAAGATCTACAAGTTCTCATTCCCTTCATGCTGCTTTAGACCAATCTGTTAATTGGTAGTAGTTACAGTTTTTTTTATCCTACAATCACTCAAGGGCAGCCGTTTTTCACCAGACGTGTATAAGGAAGATTGATAGCAGGGCTATTGTTTATCTCTGTGTGGGAGACTTATATAGCAACCAGCTTTGAAACAATGTTGGGTAGTTCTCATTAAAAGAATGTCTGTGCTTTCTGGGTGATGGAACAGCCTGATCCGGCTTAGTCCTGACTGGATCTCATGCTCAGTGAGTTCCCATCTGTGGAGTTTCCAGAGACTCTTCCCATGCTGTGTGCACTCACTTCACCCGCAGGAGGCTCAACTCACATGGTCTGTAGGAGATTTATGGATAGACTGCAGTGTGGGAGGGAGTACTGCTTTTTCCTCTCTGTCTGATGCTGAGAGGCTCTTTTCCCCATTAAAATGTTGTGACGACATGCTTTAGGTTTCATTTACATGGATCTGTGCCAAAGTCTATTCAGGGGGGCTTTCCCCATTCTGCAGTCTCTGAAAAGTCCAGAATGAAAGCACCCGTGTGCGGCTGCTGAGCTACTGGTCACACAGGCCCACGTACTTGTCTTTGGGGTCTGCTGCATTACTCCCTCTGTCCCTCTCTTTCGTTCTCTTGAAGTGCCAAAGCCAATTTCAGTTTTCTTTTATGAGGAAGGAAGACAAAGGGAACAACATGAAATGCTTTTCTTCATGAAAAAATCTCTTGGGAAAGAACTTGTGCACTAGATTTGAAAAAGATTGGCACTGATTTTTCACTGCAATCCAGTGGCATTTCACAATCCCCTCTGAGAACTGTCTGCAGGAGAACAAGCGTAATAGTAATGCTCATCCCAACAATCAGGGAATGTCATGAAGCATGCCTTCCTGTCACAAACAGATTGGCTGCAATTTCTTAGTTTGGATGATAGAATAGACTAGTGAACATCATGTTTGGGTTACAAGTTCATTAAGAATCTGTTTATTTCTTCTTTAGTGTTATTGCTGTAGGAGCTGGCTAAATTATTATGTTTTCACTGTTCACTCCCTTTTGTTTTCCTCTGCAGGCACTCTTCAGGTAGCAGGAAGAGGCAAAGGGCAAACCAGTATTGTCCTTTGAAATGTGTAGTAGCTTCCTTTGCTCACCACTCTCCCTGGGGTGTGTGTAGCCATTTGTGTTGTGTCTCCTAGGTGGGCAAGACTGGAGGCTGAAGGTCTGCTACCTCCAGCCTTGTTGTCTGCAATAAACGGTGGCCAGCTGAGTTTGAGAATACAACACACCAGATTGCTCCCTTCTGTATTTTTGAAGCCTTTGCAAGTGGTAGCATGGTTATGCTGAATAAACAATTACCATTTGGAGCACAAATCTAAGAATTTTTTTTTACAGATGCACTCAAACTGCTGAAATACAGGTATATTCAGGAAACAAGCAGAATTGTCGTTTAAAGTATATATCAATATCATGAATGTCTCCATGCCATAATCCAGATTATTACATTATAAGAGATGTTGCCTTCACTACGTGTATGATCTGCATATAACAAACAGTGGCCAAAAAGTGGCTGTGGGGTTGAATTAACTTTTTAACATGGAGAATTCCATCAGTAGGTATTGCTTTTCTCATATCTTGAGGATTTGAGTGCTGACTTGATTGTGTGAGATCTCTAAACCAGCTCAGTATGAGATAAATATGTCCTCTTGTAACTTGGTCTGGATTCTCAGAATTGCTCAGAATTGGAATATAAGGGTTGTATCTCTTTAGAGACCTGTTGTTCCTGTTTTAATCAGATGACAATACAGTTTTTCTTTTGGAATAGTCTTTAACTCTTGGGAAATTTTGTATGTTTGGAAATAAATGGAGAGGAAAAATATCTGAAATGAGTTATGTATGTTTTCTTGTAAGTGTTTTGAAAATCCAGATGTGTGTGAACAAGTAGCCCCTGGGTAGATATTACAGTGGGAATGGGCATATGCATAGCAAGTCCTCTTAGACATTACTGACCTTGGTTCCATCAAGTCATTTTCCCACAGATAGCCTTTTAATAGTGTATAGGTAATACATTAACCACTGATGCTTTTGCTTTGCATCTGCCTTCAGATCCTTGTGCCCACTTTCATTTCTGTTGTACTTGAGCCACAGTCAAGTAATGGGAAAAAAAAAGAAGTCTGTTCTTTCTTACTGTATTGTATTATCTCTGACCATTTTGTAATACTGTTTCATTTTGGAGGAGCCTTTCTGTATCACTGTAGTCTTTTGAACCAGTACACATCACTACAGATCAAAAGAACTTGAAGCAATGCACCCTTGCATTGCTTGGGAAAGCAGGTTCGCATGAAAGTTCTTCATTCTTTTTGTACATGCAGGGTGTCTAGAGAGATTTATCATTGACATTGGTAATAGTTTACTGAACATGAGACAGTGTAATTATATGGCTTTAAGAAATCTATTTCTAGTCAATTAAATAACTTGTTAGTTTATGTGAGTGATTCATTGTCAGAATTTGCTATCGTTGCAGAACGGTTTGTGTAAATTGAGCATGGTTGGTTACGTGGCTGTTCTTGGCTGAGTGCGGTCAAAGTATATTCTCTGTATGCTCGAAACTTGTATTCAAAAGAAATGAGTGGAGTTTTAAATTTTGAGGACTGATGTTATCTAACGTGCCTGTATGATTTATTTGTTTTAGTGGAAGAGTGCTTTCCTTTGCTTTAGCCTCTACTAGCAAGAACATTGCATAATTCAGTGCTCATATCAAAGGAAAAGGTGTTCAGGAGCCAACCTTGTACTTCTGATGCTGTCGTGGATTCTGACAGCTCTCTTCTGTATTAGATGTGGCTTCATTAGGGAGGAAGAATAAAGTAAAATCAAGAAATGGGCAGGCATTTTGAAAAATGTTGATTTGAACGTATCAATTTTCGCATTTCTAAACCAGGGGATTGGAAATATTTAATAGGACTCCATAAAGGCCCCGTGAGCGTTTGCAGAGTTTAAGAGTTGTAGCTTGACAAGTTGCATTGCATTGCAAGGAACAACATCTTTGCTGGAGACCGCATCTCTGGAGCACTCATATTATGTGTGTTAGATCCATGTGACAGTAGGCTGTGAAGACACTGTTAAAAGCAGATTTCCCCAGAAGTTCTGCTCCCCTCTCCTCCATAATTTTTATCTGGGTTAAGAGAAGAGGAATTTGTTGATTTATCCCAGGTGCCTCCAGAATGTGGCAAAGCTGGTGTCAGCATGTTCTTTGTTGTAGGATGTTTGTGCCCAGAGCACTTTTTACAGGTTGTTTTCCAGTCCTAGGACTATAAGAAGGGCTAGACTACTACTTCTCAGTGGATTTTATGGCAAATCCATCTTATCATACAAACATGATCACAGTTAATTTTGCAAATTGTAAAATTGAAAATTTGTAAATTGTGCATACTGAGTGCATCAACCATAGTTAGAGGGTTAGAAATCTTTTAGGAAGAACAAAATCGTTAACCTATATCTGAGAGGAAACCCAGCTTCTCTTTGTTTACTGATAATATGCAATTTTAATAAGTTGCCTGCCCCGTCACAGGCTGACATCAAACCTTGCACTTAGAGATTGAATGTACAACATACAGCATGTAAGTAATGAGATGCAGTTTTGTTCATCCTTTCAGTTAATTCTATGTGTTCTTTTTTTTCCCCCTTGTGCTGCACGGCTGATTACCACCCTAGGACCTTGCAATGGGACACAGACCCCTCAGTGCTGCAGCTCCAGTCAGACTCTGAACTTGGGTATATGTCTGCTCTTTATGTTATTCATTTATCATTTCTTTGCAAGAGTTACGTTGCGAATGCTTCCCAGATGAGCTGTTTGTATGTGATTTTTATTTGCTTTGTTGACTCAGAAAGACCATAATTTAAGTTTCCTTTTTTCAGTTTCATCAATAAGAAGCTTCAGTAAAGCCATCTTTGTGGAAAAAAACTACTATTTAAAGAAGCTTGTGAAAGATAAGCTGCTATTTCTGTTGCCCGAAACACAATACAAATAACTATTTCATTACAGATGAAATGTTATTATTGTGGCACTTTAATGTGCATGTACAGTTACACTGGTCTTGTTTGTACCTCTTGATTCAGACTTCTCTTTCTGAATCATTTGCAAGGTACTTTTCCCCCTTCCTTCTTGTTTTTGTTGTAGTTACGTTCCACATGCAATAACCCACATGAAATAACAATTTCCCCCTTTGCCATAGGAGCTGTCTATGCATTTATAATTGTATACTTAAGTACAATCATAGTCCACTAATTGCCATTTAAGTTGAGTTCAGGTCAGTCAAGCATTACCTAATTATACTAGGGCTAAAATTGATATTCTCCAGTTTGACATGGAACTTCTCTATCTTAACCATCTGAAAAAGTTGTTTAGGTAGCAGAATATAACTAGTGTAATTAAGAAGAGTACCAAATATGTTTATATTTTAAAAGGTCACTATATTAAGGAACAGAAGTTCACGTTTGTCATGAATGTAGTTTAGCATCATCAAGGGAAGTCTGACAGCATGAAGAGGTTCTCTCTTATCTCCCTGCGATCAATCAAGGAAAATCAGAAACAATGGCTTTTCTAAACATGATCTCCAGATCTAACATCAGCACCGTGTTATTGCTGAAGCTCCAAGTACATAGTCATGGCTTGGTAACTACAACAAAAAAATGCTTTAATAATTTACTGAATTCTTTGTGGCCATTGAAGTTATCAGAGTGCGTTGGCAAATGAAAATGCTGCTCACTACCATCTCAGACTGAATTTTACAGTCTCTTCTAAATGAGAAAATTGGGTGCTGTATTTTCAATGTAAGAGGCAGCAAAAGGAGAGAAAATAAATAGTAAAGGAAAAATAGCAAGACCTGAAGACATGAAATGCCCACCTGCAGTGATATTTAGGATAAATTGTTCCTCTGAAAAGGAAAGGTAACTGTCCTTCAAGTTCTTCAGAACTTGACTCATAAGCAAAACCAAATCTCTGCACTGAATAAATTTTTCTGTCTATGAACTGATGGGCTTTCCTGTCTGAGTTTCCAAGCAAGTATCTTATTCTTCTGAAGTTCTTTGTGTTTTTTCCCCAGCAGTTCAGGTGAAATTCATTCACCATTCTCCAGGCTTCAAGAAAAGAAAACAGTTTTCCTTTAACGATTAATTGACAGTGCTCCCACCTGCAGTTAGAGATGTTAGTGCTATGTACCAGGAATGGAAAGTGTCTAGAGCGCTTAATAAATAGGCTTTCTCTACATCCAGAACGGTTAGGAATGCATTTATTTCCACCTGAGTGTGATATCAGGTAGATCTAACTTCTACAACATCACCTGGGTCATACAAAAGGGGAAGGGTTTCCTCACATCAAAACAGCTTTAGAAACTTTTTTGAAATCTCAGCTGCCCTTCCCCAGAAGCTGGGATTGAAAGATGAGCACTCTCAGAAGCAAAGGTCCTCAAATGGCTGTGCAAGGCAAGGTGGTTTGATTCTCATAAAGATAAGCCTGTGCATAGCTGCAAGTCTTCAGTCTTTTAGGAGCAGTAAAGACAGAAAAGGAGAATGCCAATGAGTGAGCCCATGAGTATGTTTCGTAAGTCCTTTGTCTTCTACAAGACAGAGTTAGACAGAGGACCATGTATTTCTCTGCTATATGGCTATGAGGCTAGATAAAAACACCATCACAAAAGAAATCCTGCAGTCAGTATGCAAATAATGTGTGTAGCTAAACACTTCACATCTTTCTTCTCCTGCAGACAGAGGAATCAATTTTAATGCATAGGCTTTAATTACTGTCTTCCTACTGACATCCCATAGGCAGTTTCGAAAAGAATCCATCAAAGTTTATGTGCTCTAGAAGCTGCATATCCAATAAATTGTAAATGAAAAGAATGATGAGTGTCTCAGAGTGTATGGGAAATGAGACATTTTAGTGCTGCCCTAAAAGGAATTAGACCAGAGTATTATAGCCCATATTTGGCAGAGTCCATGTACTGAAAGGATGTTCCAGTTCTCCCTAAGAGCTTGGGACCAAGGGTTAGGTTGGCTTTTCATCACATAAGGGCCATTACAGGTTGATTAGCAGGGTAAAAAAAAGGAAGACCATATTCCTTCAAAGGAAGACTTCACAGTCTTAAGCGGTTAGAGTGACATTATGCATTTAGACAGCCATCAGCAGTTCCTGAATAATAAATGTTTTAGGTGAAAAATTAAACATATCTCTCAGCACAGTGTTCTGGGTGGTAGCTCACTTCTTAGCAGTCTAGACAGGAGCTAACCCAACAAGCAGTTAAATCCACCTCTACATGAGGACTGATATTCCCCCATCCCTAACCAGCGAATAAGATATGGAATGATTTCAGGTGAAACTGTTGTTAGAATCGGGCGAGGTTCTAATTAGCTCTAGATTAGACACATGATTAATTAGAGCTGATACTTAACAGAAGCTCTTACAGTGAAGGAGGCTTAAGAATCTCAGTAAAAGGAATCAGGCTGAGTCGATGGAGGACCGATTGTGAAGGAAAATCTTTCAAACTTGATGTCAAAGGATGGAAAAGCATGTAAGATTTTTCTGGGGAAGATATTTATTAAAGCTTAAATTCATGCATACTCTCATTTAAAGCAGCTACACGTGTACTACTGAAGCTTTTGTTAGCCGTTACAGGTTCTTAAAGTGTATCACAAGCTACAGAAGTTTTTCTGCCTCCCATAGAGAGTTTTCAGGGAATCCATGCTCTTATTCATGTTGGCAGAGTTAGAGGTGTTTGTTAGAGGATGGTGAAAAGAAGAGGTTCAGAGATGTAACAACCATTACTGCTCTAGCGGTCTGTTATGTGACGTGGTTGATTCATACTGATTCCCCACTGAATCATATTGCATTCAGCTTAATAAAAACTCAGCCAGTAAAACCAATTAGAAATATATATAGCTGATTCAGCCTTAACAAGCATAAGAGTTCAGTAGGTGTCATCCAATGATGACAATTTTTTTTCAATACTCATTTTCTTTCCGACATCACTGTTAACTGAATATCTTAACCACTGTAAATGAATGAGATAAAAAATAAGTTTGAACCTTGTTCTTCTGACAGTCAGGAAGACAGAGAGGAAATGGATAATGCATATGAATTTTCTGCTTTTCCAAATTGCTCTCCTTAACAATGTGGCAGTTCAGAAACATTATGTCTCTGAATTTATTTCCTGTAAATGTGTAAGCACTCTTGCACGTGTTGATCTAAGCATCTGGACTTATTTAGCTCATCCATTTATTATTTGCATATATATATATTTGTCTGCTGAAAGTTGGTGGTTTTTTCCCAGTTAAAAAAAAAAAAAATTGACATATTTGTTTATTTGCTTATTCTTCATTCACTACAGTCAAATAATATTCAGGAAACAAATTGATAATTTTTTTTCCCTCCTCTTTTGGCTGAACTGTGTACAACTAAATGTGTTTGTGATTGTGCACAGCCATCTCTCTCTGTTTTCCCTTACCCAGCTACATTGTTGGTTGGCTCTACTGATTTAGTTCACATGGCTCATTTAAAGTTAGGAGAGTAGTACAAAGAGAAGGCTCTATCTGTTGCAGGTGTGTCTCAGGGCTCTACTTTAACCCTTGCATTAGGACTCTAATGATCATGAACCTACAGCAAGTCCACTGCTATTAACCCCTGTGGAAGGGAGAATCTCTTTATGGAAATTATGCACCCTGCTCTCTTACAGTCCAGCGTATTTTACACCCACTGTGCCTCTTGCGCTGTTGATTATCTCAGGCTGAGGAGTGAATCTCTTGAACAGGCTGAATGTTGTAGTAATAACTGTGTGAAGGAGGAGGCAGGTTTATTGCGTGCTGTGAGGGACGCAAGCAGGTCGTACCTTGCTCCTATTTACGGTTCCTCTCAGCAGCATAACCTAGACCCAGACAGGTTTTAGTAACTATGTTTTATTATGGCAAATGATTCCTGAATTAATTTTCTTCACTGTAATTAGGTTCTTTTCATACATAGTGTGTTGTGTTTCATCTTAGCAAACATTGAAGTATTTTTTAATCCTGTTCAGAAGAGCAAACACTTTTGCTCCCGCTACTGACTTACACCTAACATAACTAACCTTTTATGTCCTGTGTTCCATCTTAGACGCAGACTGCACAAACTAGGGGTGTCAAAGATTACCCAGGTTGATTTCTTACCTCGGGAGGTGGTGTCCTACTCCAAGGAGACCCAGACACCTCTTGCAACACATCAATCTGAAGGTAAGATACCTTTTTTTCAAAAGCATTTACATAAAAAATAAATGTTCAAGTAAGACTTTAAGAATGTAAGAAAATTAATGCTAAATCATAATATAACCACTTACCCACGTATTTTCTGCAAGCCAGGTATTGTTTACGTGATTAATGGCTGTACTGGTGAGAATAATTATAATAATGACTTTAAATTCAGGTGGAACCAAACTGCTTTTGCCTCACAATGGATAGTATAATGAGAACATATTTTCAAATAAATCATTATGAATATAATTAAAACTGTGCTTTATCCCAATTTTCTTGCTTTCTCAAGGAAGTTATTCATTCCATGCTTTGTAAAGAGGCAGTGATGGAAAGTTGCCCTTCTGTATTTGGCCAGTGTAATTGTGTCACCCTCCAGAAGATGAATCTTAGAAGTTAGTTTCACTTCATGCACTGAAAAAGGAGGCTTACATACTTTCATGTGGACAGTCCCATTTTTTTTTCTGCTTACAGTTGTGCTATCTGTACTCATGGAGCTATTTGTTAGCTGTTTGGCTTTCCTGTTGATAAACAACATGGAGGTTAGGGATGAATAGAGCATTTATCTAACTGTACTTTGCAACTAAACTTGCTAGTGTTGGACTACTGAAAACTGATTGCATATGAATTGAAACCATTTAAAGTGAATATAAATAAATGAGCCTGATATAATTCTCACATTATTACTATCAGGTAAAAGAAGAAAAACTGTTGATGGTCTTGGTTATAATTTTTGCTTAAGTTAATCAGATAAGACACTGTAGTGATAAACATAGTCAACTTTTCTTCTGCAACTGGATTGCCAGTTTTGCCCTTAAGATTCCTGAGCTAGATAAAAAATGTACTTTTTCAGATCATGAGTTTACGTTAGTCATCTGTTGACTGATATGGTGCCTTCATGCATAAACAACCCAGTTCATTGGTTGCAGCTTCTTGAGCAGCATCTCATGACAGTTTTGCCTTATCAGAGGGAAAGGCTGTCTCAGAAGCCTCCCTTGTTCAGTTTGGCTCAGCTCATCTCTCCTTGTCAATCTGAGAGCTGCTGAAGCCTGGAGTGAATGGGACTTGTCAACTGAGGCCACGCTTTCCCGACTTGAGAAAAACAGATTCTCAACTCTGGGAGTCATTGGGAGATAAGATGGAGGTGATACCCTTGTTTCCTAATGCAGTACCTTTATCCTGAACAAAAGCTTATGGGTACAGGGAGTTGAAGACATGCCCTTGTGTTGTACCTCTCCCAGGCCTGCTACTTCAGTCCTCAGTACCTGACCTGACAGGTTGATGTCTCTTAAGTATAGAATGAGTTCACAGAATCATAGAAGATCTTCCTGGCTAGCAAAACTTTTTTTCCCAGGAGATCTTCAGTTATTTTGAAATCCTTCTGTTGGTTGGACAAGAGGCCAACCTCCTGCCCTACAAGAGAAAAAGACAGTACATTGCTATGAGAAGTCAAATGGTGATAGATGGTTTTGGTGATTAGGTTTATGCCTTTCTTGTGTTCTATTATATCACAGTCAAGTAGAAACATTCAAACGTTCAAAGCAAAAATATCACCCAACCACTTCTCTCATGTGAGTGGGTGAGGAAGTTGATCTTATTTTCTTTTCAGTCTGCTGCTAGGGAGTTCTGCATGCATGAATTGGCATGAATATCACCATGCATTATTAAAGGAGAGTCAGGAAAGTTTGATTATTCAGTTGAAATGCTACTTAATTGGAAATTTGCTAGAGGATAAATAAGCTTTGTGATTTTGGTCTACTTAGTCCAATGGAAATCAGTTCTTAGGTTTTCAGTCTCCTAAACCTCTTTATGAATGCTGAGCCCTACATGCTGTCACTCTAAACGTGAACAGCAAACAGAGCAGTTCCTCAGCAGAGCAGTTTTGAGAAGTCTCTGTGCTGTTCCTATGCATTCATGTGATAAAATATAGCCATTATCTTATCAACAGAATGGTTCAGCCACTGCTGTAGTTACATGCTCAGTTATTTGGTATCTGAAGCCTTAAAGTTTGAGAAAAGGAAAAACAAACCTCTTATTTACTAAGACACGTCTGACTTCAGCTTTCAGAATTCACTCTTTCACTGCCTATCTCAGACTCTGGAAATCATGCTGTATTTTAGAATGAGTCTGTCATACATTTGATTCTGGCTTGAAAGAAGAGAACTAACAAAGGTACAGCTGGATGGAAAAATCTTGCCTGTATGATAAGTCACCAGGTTATTTTTAAAATGTTAATGTCAGGTTTTCTGCACCTTATTTTTCAAAGAAAGAAAGAAACTCTGAAGTGTCTTAGACATACGTGGGGCTGAATGGATGTAGGCCTGTGTCGTAATGGCTGCTCCTCACCAATCTTTATAAAGCTGGTACAGGAAAGAAGGAAAGCTTCACTGTGATAAGTACAGTGTGGTGCCAGAGAGCCAGATGCTCTAAGCACTGTAGTCTCAGCTTGTCAGCTGCTAATTTTAGAAGAAATAATGTGGCATTATTCTTCACTGTGTAAAAACAGATTAACTCCTCTTTTCAGAACAGGTAATTTTCTTTATTTCTGAGGAATAATGACATGTCATTTTTCCCGCCCACTCTATTATTTAGAGAGATGTGTATATGCATCATTCAACCCTTTGATCACAAGTACCTAATTCTTTTGCTTTATTTAGGTCACAGTAAGCTTCAGCCTTTTCTTTTCTTCCTTGTAGGATGACTTCAAAAACACCCAGATCTTGGCTCTGGAGCCTGAGAAAAAAAAGCACTCCTTACTTTCCCCTCCTCCTTTTGTAATTGGATTTGAATTTAGCTATTTGTAGATGGAGACATTTCACTTGTGCTGCCTTTTCCATTCTGGAGTCAATTAAGATGTAGACTATGCCAGATATTGTCTGAGAGGTCTCTGGGACACATTCCTTCACCCTGCAGAGGCGTTCACATTGTGCCAGAATGGCAGCCTTCAATGGCTGGACCCTCCATATCATATCACTGCAGAGCTGCCCTTTGTGAAGGCACACCTGGAAGAAAGCAGCAACAGAAGAGCTGTGTTCTGACTGCTGCCCAGGGTGAATCTCTCACTGGTTTGAAGGAGCTTTGTGTGTTTGCCTGGAAGCTAATTTTTCAGATAGTAAAACACTCAAGCTCTGCTGCGTGCCTATCTCAGCTCCAATCCAATTTTCCTACTCTCTGATGGGCCAGGAGATGTAGTCTCTGAGGGAAACTGTGCACTGTCCCCACATGAGAGGTACTCCTCTCACCTGCCTCCCATCTCAAAACAAGGTCGGGAAGCACAAAGATTTGTATAGCTGGCCAGTATCAGGAATGCAGTTATTCTTCTTTCATTGAGTTGAAACTACTTCTTCATCAGCTAAATGGGATGTTTTCAATTTCCTGACTTCCTGGACTATCAATGAAAGTAGATTTGTCTGAAATGCATTTCTAGTAAAGGCTAGATCCCTTATAAAGGGGAATGAAGTTTGAATTTCTAGTACAGTGGATCTCCTTTTTGCTTTGCATCTTTAACAAGTGCTTGTCCGTGTGAGAAAAGCTGATGTGTTACCATACCCACTTCATGAGCAAGATAACCTCATCTTATGTCACAAAAGCTTGCCCAGTTCTGGCAAAGAACACAATTCAGACCTTTGCTCCAGCTGTTTATCTGTTGTATTCAAATAATGAGGATATTTTGGTTGCAAAGGAAAAAATAAAATAAACTCTCTATTCTGTTCGAACATAGACCAGTATGAAGTGTCAAAGCAGGGGAAATTTCAGAGGCTGGGTTAGTTTCTGCATCTCTTTAACACTGTAATTTCCTGAACTTACATTCCAGAAAGCTGTTCTTTTTAAAGCTCTGAAGGATGAGAAAGGGAATCTGCTCACAGTCTAAGGTTCAAGGACTGAGACGTGTGAATTTAAATATTTATGTGGGAATATGACTGGTAGGATGGAACCAAAAATCTCTTTAGAACCCAACGACTGCTTTGACTAGGTCTTCATCGATGAGCATAATAGCAGAGAGCTACGTGGAGCCATGTTAGTGTAGATTTCTCATTTCCACTCACTGTTGAATAAATTACATATCACTAGAAGTGTCATACACTGATACTATATGAGGGCTGTGTCCTATTTTGAGTTTTGGAAATCAGACCAAGAATGACTTTGGACTGACATGCCGAGTTGCTGAAAAAATTAATCTGGGAGTTGGGCTGAGATTCCCAGGTTTAAGTAGCATGGAACTTTGACTGTGTCTGTCCCATAAGGCCGTGTGCGGCAGACTGTGTGCCATGCATGCTGCACCAGTGACTAGCTCAGCTCTAGCTTTGTGAATGCATGCTGGACTTAATAAGTGCCAGTCTCAGAACTGAAGAAGATCATACCTGAGCCTCCCATGCCCAAGCTTTCTCGAGCTCGCAGATCAGCAGCTAGGGGTTAAGTTAAAGAGCTTACTTTGTCTTTTCCCTTCTAGAGAATCTTATAGCTCAGTCCTGTCTGAAGAGTGCAAGGCAAGTCTGTACCCAAGAGCAGCTTTGAACTCCAAATTTAATGTGAAATACAGACGCATTTCTGCATTGCCATACATACAGCATGTGTGTCAGGATTGATGAAAATATGCATAATGGAAAGGCACTGGACGTATCAGGGAGAAAATCAGAGGCCCTCTGTTGTAAACAAAAGAGGGTATTGGAAAACAGAGCAGTACTGGGACAGAAATAACTACTTAAAAAAAAAAAATAGGCAACTTGAAAATGAATGAATGCTACAATTGAGTGTCTGGTTTTAAAGAGACAGAACCTGATTATTGTACTAATGGACTCTGATTTTATAAGAAAAATATTATGATCTATTGTAGGCCATATCATATGTCACTGGTGGTTTTAGCTAAGTATTAACATCTAGTTTGCTTTTTCTTCTCAAACCTCAGTCCATCAGAGTCATACTGTGGATCTCAATAGCTGACCTAAACACCCTAATTCAAAACTGCTTTGTTTGATTAAATCAAC